TTGCAAAGCAGGCACAACACCACTGAGCTAAATCTCTGGCCACTGGCTCTCTAATTTGATGAGACCTAAAGATTCTATTGATCTCTCCTTCTGTGGGGAATGCTGATAGCCACTGGTGTGAACTGTTAAAAGTAACAGGCAATGTGCCAGGCATGCTGGTGCATATGTATAATCCCAGCGCTCAGAAGGCCTGGGCTCCACAGTGAGTTTGAGGCCAGCCTGGACTACACAGCAAGACCCAGTTTCAAAGTATCAAAAGGAAAAAAAAAAAAAGTAATATCCAATGCAGATTACCCTAATTCACCACTTGTGAGATTTAAAGAATTTAGTGACTCTCCATTTATGATACTTTGGAATATTTTTGGCAGAGTGGGAAATATAATGATGCTGGCTGGTTACTCTTAGCATTTCTGGACAAACTAATGAAGGAACAGAATGAGTTTCAAACATCCAAAGGAAATCTAAAGTCTTCTAACTATGAGGACAAATTGATAAAAGGAAAATATGGAGCTCAAAGATTCAAATTCTCTAGCCGAGTGTAGTGGTGCAAATCTATAACTCCAGTACTCCAGAGGCTGAAGCAGGAGGATCTCTGGGAGTTTGAGGCCAGCCTGGGCTACATAGTGAGCTCACATCAGCCTGAACTACACACCAAGACCCTGTCTCAAAAACAAACAAAAAAAGATTCAAATCACCAAGACCTGGCATGTAAAGGTACAAGATCCCAGTAATGAATGTAGCTGTACTGTCTACCTAGAATGTACCAATAAATTAAATTAAATTTTTAAAAAAAGATTCAAATCACCAAGACCTGGCATGTAAAGGTACAAGATCCCAGTAATGAATGTAGCTGTACTGTCTACCTAGAATGTACCAATAAATTAAATTAAATTTTTAAAAAAAGATTCAAATCCCCAGCCCCAGAAACACATAAAGAATTTAAGTTTCTAAGTGTGTCCTGAAAGAGAATTTCCTGTCCTTCAGCCACAGAGCTGAGACTTCAGAAACTCAAATATAGCCTCTCATAATTTGATTGGCTGAAAAGAATAGATTTCTCAGCCTTGGAAGGTAACCTGAAATAAAGTTGAGGACACTGATCAAAACAGAATTGGATCTCATAAAATGGGACGGAGACAACAGAGAATCCTGATGAGGTTGAGGATGTTGAGTTCCTAGACTCTAGTGAGATTATTTTGTCAGAAGAAAAGATTTCCCTACCCACAGTGGCAGAGGCTTCCCCAACCCCACTCCCTGTGGTGCTGGCCACTCCTAGTATATACCAAGGAAACTAATCCTATGTTGACAAAGCATGATAATCCTGACACTCCTCAGGACCCACTCTCACCCACTTTTGCCTCTAGGCTTATAGCCTGCTCAAATCATAGAAGGCTCCTAAGGATGAGGTACACAGCATGACCCATGAAGAGGTCTGCTAGTCTCCCAAAGAACTTGAGTTTTTCAACTCTTGTAGGCAGAGGTGTGATGAGTAAGGATGGGAATGGATTTTACAGGTGTAGGATATACCTGATCAGGCTGAGTTTGTTCATATGGGCCCTTAAAGCAGAGATTTTGAATTTAATGTTGTAGCTCATGGAGTAAAGAAAGGTGTTTATAGTTTATGTGGCTAAGCCGGGTGTGGCAGCACATGCCTGTAATCCTAGCACTCGTGGGAGGCTGAGGCAGAAGGATCCCTGTGTGTTGACCAGCCTGGGCTACAAAGTTAGTTCCAGATCAGTATCAACTACATAGTGAAACCCTGCCTCAAAAAACAAAACAACAATAACAACAACAAAAAAATAATTTATCTGTCTGGCTGGCAGAAGTGTGGATCAAAAGATGGCCCACTGTGAATGGGTTAGAGATGCCTCACATTCCATGGTTTACTGATGATGAGAGGATTCAAAAGCTTAGGGAAATGGGAATGCTGAAGTGGATCTGTCATATTAAACCCAATCCTCCACCCTGAATGATCCAGAAAAGGTACTCTTCACTAACACCTTGCAAAGCAGATTTATGAGGGAAGCACCAGCATCCCTGAAGAGCTTTGTCATTCTCTTCTCTGTATGTCAGACCATACAGTGAGGATCACAGTTACTTGACTGAGAAACCTAAGGGCAATAGGTTTAAATGGATCCCAGAGTACATAGCCTTTTTGCACTTCTCCACATCTGACTCTATCACTGTAAGCTAATCTTATAAATTCTTACATATTTGTATATCTTGCATTAAATCCGTTTCTCTAGTAAGCACTGACTGATACTATTACCAAGCTACAACAATTTAAAAACTGAAAACACTGTGCCAACTGAAGCTGTTTTTAGGTCAGTAGTGGATAGGATCTATAATAACAAAACCTGACAAAGGCTATTTAAAGTTTCATTATTCCATTGATGATGAACATTAGCAACTTACGTTCCAGAACTAACAGCTCATGTGGTTAGAGACAGCTGGGGTGTTGCACACAGATATACAAAGGGTTGATATTTCCGATTGTTTGCTTCACTGTACAATAATGCAAATATTGTTGATCTAAAATCTGAATAAGTCTGATTTCAAAGCACATTTAGTCTGAGGATCACCGTAAACAAGAGGTGGACCTGTATAACCGCAATCTCTATGAAACATGATTAATAATGCAGAAATGTATTTATTGAAAAAGAACCTATTTGACTCAAGAATTAAATATATAATCATCAGCAATAAATAAGGGCGTTCTTACATCTGACCACTGTACAGAGATACCTGTTTCATATACCAAGTACACATGCCATACTGCCAGTGCTCTGCCATGAAGTCAAGGAGTCCAAGGCCTCTGGCCACTCTTGATAAGATACTACAATACTAGGTAAAAAACTATCTGTGCCAGCAAATGTAACCAGGTTTGGGGTTGGGGCAACATTAAAGTATTACCACACACTGCTTACCAGATATATGAAATTTCATAAGCGTAAATTAGTTTTCCTATAGTTTGGGTTTTTTTCTATTGTTTATTGGTACTTTTTAGTTATACAGTACAGTTACATTCATAATTGGGATCTTGTACCCTTACATGATGTATCTTGGTTATTTTTTCCCTATTGCAGTTTTCATATAGTTTTAATAAGTTTATTCATGCTGAGGGAGCCCCCTTAATCTTCAGCACTGAGCAAAATGAGTGTACTTTTCAAACAAATGATAGAAACAAAATTAAAGGATTATAGCTAGCACAGATAAAAAGTACTACACACAGTTCTCATTGCCACTCATTCCTGTTATACCATGGAGCAGCACAAATCCCATGCTATCACTCTAAATTAGACTTCACATTTAAATTTTTAATTTTTACATGAATTTAATTACACAACCTTTTTAAGCAAAACTCTATGGAAACTCTAAGATTTAAAGTAGAATTTTTTTTAAAGTAGAATTTTTTTGTGTGGGTATTTGAAAGATTTAAAGATCAAGGCATTTTCTTAATGTAATGATTTCTTAACTAAGATTCATAGTTGTATTTATCATATATACTTTATTTTCAATTTATAACATATAATTAAATAATTCCATTTCTATGAGAATCAGTTCATTTTTTTTACAAGAGTAACCCTAAATTCAATTTAAGGTTCCAAAATTTGGAATATCCACTGATCACACCAGATTCTTTCAAGTTCTGTGACTTTTCCCATTTTGATCTCCTACCCAGAAAGCCTATCCACACTTGATCTGCTCATCATTCAAGGCTCAGATGGAGCCTTCAGAGGCTGAGGCAGAAGAATTTCTGTGAGTCTGAGGCTAACGTGGGCTACATAGCAAGACCATGCTCAAAAAACAAAACAAAACAAATCCTCCAGAAAGTCAAGGCTCAGATGGAAGGTGCCTCTCTTGAAGCTCCCTCAATTCCCCTAAATAGGATTATTCAACTTTTCTTTTTTGCACCTATTATACTTCTTTCATATTGACAATCATGCTATAATAATTTTTCTCACCTATCTACTCACTGGGCAAAAGACTTATCCAAGACAAGCATGGTGATATAATCTTTGTTTCTATCACAGAATTGGGAGCCAAGGTCTCTCCTGAACAACTATGTAAATGAATGAATAATCTATAGGCTTAGAGTCATCCTAAGGTTCACACTATACTCCAATATGACCATTTAGTAAAGAAAATAATGTTAGAAAATGTCAGATCTTGGAAGGCAGAAGGCTGGAAGCAGATAGTGTTTAAGACAGATAGCAGAATTTACAACCCACTCCCCAGAATCACTCCACCTGGGCTGTACACACTGAACTAGGATGAGACGCTGTTAGCCGTGAACAACCCAACAGAAAGGGTGGCTCTAGCAGCTTGCTTTATTTCAAGTTTCTGCTGGCTACTGCATCCAAAAGCACTCAAATGGAATAATTGTGAGTCCATGATATAGACTTAAAGACCAAGATATTCTTATATGAAAAATGTAAAATTATTAAGAAAATACTGTAGTTCTGTGTTTCGCAAACTATGTGTACAGGACCCACCCCCACAAGGGACTCTGTAGGTCTGGTGGGGCCTGAGATTTTGCATCTCCCTCAAACTCCTTGGGCGGGGGTGCTGATGATCTGTGAATCACACTGTGGCTGACATTGTTGGAGTAAGAAACAGGTGCACATCCTCTACAGTCTAGGTTGAACTTCTCTGGGGTTTTAATTGTAATATTCTTATTAATATCCTTGCTATAAGCTAACTTGATGATGTTAATTATATAAAGCACTATTGGAAATTTGATTTCAAAAGTTTATTACAAAATATTTTAATGGGCCGGCGATTTAGCTCAGTGGTTCCACTGCCTCCTTCACAAGTGCAAGGTCCCAAGTTCAGTCCCTGGTACCAAAAAAAAAAAAAAAAAAAAAAAAAACAAAAAAAATAAATT